ACTGAAACCGTCTTCGTCAGTCTCGGGTTTCTTTCCTGGACATATTTTTTGAAGGTACACAAGATATGCTTTAAGATATATCGGTATTTTGTAGTAGTTCTGCTTTTAGTCAATTAGAAAATCTCGGTGAAATAGTTTTGTTAACACATTTGACTTAGTTTCTGTTGTACAACTTGTAACCACCTGAAGCACGTCAACCTATGTTTGTTTAATGTTGAAAATAACCACTGCGGGTAGTTTGTAATCAAACACAATTATAATCCATTATAATAAGGTGGCTTAATATGGATGGATGCTACAAATGGTTTCACTACTGATGTCTTCCGTCTTGCTACAGTCATAGTAGTGGATCGTTCTAAGGCCGTCCTTTGGGCAAAAACGTTACTGGTCTATAACTCCCTTAATTTCCAATTCCACCGACTCCAAACTGTACATAGCTTAACATATAGTAAACCAAATCTCATCGAAATAAAGGTGAAACCTTACCGCATAATAATATGATTCGAATAAACCAAACTGCTACGCGAAATTTCTGTTCATTTTAAAATAGCCGCCGAATCAGAATTAGAACACGCACGTAATTTCACGTCATCTCGAAAATACAGAAAAACTGTTCGGTAAGATAAGATTAAGATTTTAGTGTTCCACTCGTCACTATTTTTGTAACATAATTAATTATTTCCATGCAAACTGTGATGATATGTGTTAAAAATTTTGCAATTGAACTTAATTGTATCAATTGTAGCTGTCAATAAGAAAATATTATCACGGCTCACAAATATTGCAGCTATATGGATGCACGACTCAACTAAATATGTCGTTAAACTGGTATGTGCCTATTGGTTATCAATAACATTAAGAAATTGTCCCTCCCTTTGCTTTCCAAAATAGCGGGGAAGGGATAGTCATGATTATGTAACCTTGTTTGGTGATTCCTGGGATCTACTCCTTAATTTTAAGCCCCAAAGACTCAAATACAGGAGCTAGGACTGAGAAATGTGAGAAATTAAGACAAAACTGATGAAATAAACTTTCTATTCCAATAAAGTAGGACAGTCTGTAGAACATAGTTAAGAGCGATAAATCTAAAAAAAAACTTAATTTTAATTTCACTCTTCAATTGGATGGTCGTCGCCCCCTCCCTCCTTCTCTCTACGCCACTGCTATTCTATAAACGCTACTTGTAAATACAAATATCATAATTCGGGTCAACAAAAACCCTGAGAACTCACCTCCGTGCGTTCACCGGATTTAAAAGTTTATTTCGTGGCAAATAATCCTAGCTTATCAGTGCTTCCTCTTTTAAATATAATAACAGACAGCTTTGTGGATAGCAGGGGGGGGGGGGGCGAATGGTAAGCGCGTGCGCGTTGTATCATAAAGGCTGTCATTGAGTCAACTGGCGTGGTTTCGATTCCCCAGTTATACGTGACAAGGAGTATGGTTGCCTGTCCAACCTCGTAGTTTTCCGAGTCTTCCGCCCCCCCCCCCCAATGCTAAAGACCCCTAGGCACAAGCGAATTATTGAAATATAAATGAACCATATGTTAGTCCCGAAATGACCTTTTTTGTGTCAAGTGGACGTTACCTCCCCTCCTTCTCTCTCTCTCTCTCCCTGTCTCTCTCTCTCTCTCTCGCTCTTTATGGATAGCATTCACTAAGTTTATTAATTGCAACTTTTCAATGAGATAACTCTCTCCGTTATCAAACAATGACACAATCATAGCGTTCGTTCCTTCCTTCCTTGAGTTTTACGTCCACTTTTACCAAGGGTGATATCGTAGACAAATGTTTCCTAAGAAACGTGCCAGAAGAAGTCACAAAAATAGGATTGAATGGACAATTTAATTTCAAAGGCGTTTGATTTACGGTCTTAATATTAAAGCAATGTCATTAAAAGGTATAATCTATTCTCAGTTCTTTGTGTTTATGTCATACTAACCACACAAACGATATTTTCGCAATATTAGTGACTTGATTATCTTTAGTTTATTAGACGGTGAACACAACAATAGTTGAGGATTTATTTTTGGTAAGTTAGTATTTTGCGGTGGACCTCTTGGGAACATTATATGGATTGAATAGATTGCAGCAACGTGTACAAATATAGGTTTCGAGGCAACGAAATATGTTTATCAGCAGCGAAGTTGTCCGGGCAACAACCCATACACATTTCAAACATCAGATCAAAATTAAAGCTGATTCTTCCTTTTAGTTATATAAATATAGATTAAAAATTGCAGTCTGTAAAGTTCTATCAAGATTTCGCAACAAAGTGATTGCTCAACATCGAAGAGAGAAGGGTCTGTTATTTTCTGAACTTTTCTGTAAATGAGACTTCTCTTGTAAGATTTTCTCACAGATTGCACCCCTTAAATTATTTAAATACATTAAGTCTATTTAGTGGTCGAAAGCTGAACCAATGAACTTTCCAAAGATGAATCTTCGACCTTTCTGCAACTTGTATGTCCAAGAGCGTAAGTTATTTCAATTCTTTGTTAATTTCGATCCGTATTAAATTTTAATTCATTCAAAATGGTCCCTAAATTCTAGAATGGGTTAATTGTACCTGAGTCATAATTAAGGTGCTAAAAACTTCTGTCTTATTATTTCTAAGACCAACAACAATAAATCAGTTTTGCAAATAAATACTTAATAGCATAGAACTAGGTCTTTTATAGATAACTAGAAAGTATTTTGTGATTTAAGAATATTATAGCATCATTATTTTGAAACTAAAAAAGTAAAAAATAAAAAAAAAAATTGCACATAAGATGGTCCCGGAAACTTCGAGATACGTGTAGCCAAAGGTTACTATATCCACTTTACGACAAGTTCACGCCAATCTGGTTGAAATTAATTCAGTTATCTTCACTCAAAGTCGTAAAAATAGACCTTCCGTAAAAACGGCTTTGCCAATTATCGAAAACACTCTTAATCCCCTCAGACGCCAGTGACGTCACAGTGACCGAATGCATATTCTGAATGTTTATTCCTTAATTACCTATATGCAGCCGGCGTGTGTATTCTTTAACGCCTGAAGGATTCCTTAATCCCCCTAATTAAATAAAACAATTGACAATTTTGTTTTGTAATTCATTTTAATTTAAGATCCAATTTAGAGTGCCTACAACTTTTAAATCCTGAACTCTTAATTAATTTTTTACAATATGGAACTTATTGGACGAACACTTTTAATATGTAAGTAATATACGGGTCCAGCGATGTGGTTTTTACTGCGAGCACTTCGCATTTCCACAAAGTGTAGTGTCGTTAATATCTGTCATTAATTAATCAATCCGACTATAAAAGTTATACAGGCATGGGTCATAAATTAATTTCAAGTTGGTGTTAGTGGGATTAAGAATGTTGTTTAGGTAATTATCTTTTTTTACGCCGGCCAGATCAAAGACATCACTCTAAGTGGAACGTGTGCGTAATACCTCACGAACGAACTAATGGTAGAATCATACACACACACATTAATTGTATAAAATAATTAAGTTTTACTAATAAGTTGTTTAAAATTACTATATACCCAATAATTATTGCTCAACGGTGTTTTTGTAATCAAGTAGCCTCGTATTATTTGTTGATTGGCGTTTAAACAACATTTAAGTGATGGATGGATTAACGTTTTTGATACGATTAGGTTATAATGTCTAACATCGGTTATCTTCTTTATAATAAAAGTATTTTACAATTGCATCTCCTATTTTAACTTTCATTATGACAAAGTGAGAAGATGACCCGCCCTCTCTTCCCACGACAACGATTTTAAAACCGTGTTTTAAAGTGATTATTAGATATACAAGAACTTTTAATTATTTTAAATCTGTTTTAAAGTGACGTTTAGATATACAAGAACTTTTTATTATTTAGTGTTTTTACTTACCTTCTATTTTTTATTTAAGTAAATAACTTAATTAAATCAACCTGTCCATAATATCATGCATTATGTATTGGACGTTGAATTTGTAATAAACAACAACAACAACAGCATTGACAGTTTAATCACTCACCAAACGGCACCAGGAACTCCACGAATGATCCCATGCAATTTTCACGGCGAAGTTTAACCTCATTTATTACACCCGTAGTACATGGAACGGTGATAATAAGATACCAAGCGTTGATTGGCATAGAAATGAGTGCGATCTATTGTACATGTTATGCATAGTCATCGGAAAATTCCATATTCACTGTAGTTGTACTTTATGTATATAAATGGTTATTATTATTATATATAGCTAATAAGGAATATATCGACAAATGACTGGCACCATTTGTATTTCTGTACTTAAGTTTGGGATATCAAGTATTACGGGGTTATCCAAATTACCGGTAAATGCGCTAATTTCTTGAGTCATCTTCATTTGACACGTGGCCTATTTAAACAAAGGCAGCTTAAACTGATCTACGGCATGATACGGCATTTTAAATTCACTCTAAAATATTCCAATCACAAATGTCTAATCTATACCAATGAAAGATGATAATTCGGTGATTATGATTAGGCCAGTCACGTGGTTATTGGACCGTCAATAGACGCTTGTCCAGTTGCCGTGTGTATTGATAGTGCTATATTGTACATACAGTGAGATATTGTATAGATAATGTATATCCTATGTGTAGTGCCTGTGACGTCACCAGCCAATCAACCCGATTAAGGTCGTAATTGAAAAATTGAAAAGCGTTTTGGCGTATCGGATACTTAAACGTTAACAGCGGACTTAATTTTAATCAGATTGGTGTGAACTTGCCGTAAAGTTGATATAGTAACCATGGGCTATACATACATGCAATTTAGATTTTTGATCTTACGTGGTCTTTAAAAAATTACCAAAAGAAATGTTTATATTCATGGTGGTAAAAATATATGATATGAAATTAAAATGATGAAATGGATGAAATAAATTGGAACCCAGCCTGTAGACTGATTTAAGTTTTTTCTATTGAAGACAAGTCCCCAATCATATCTTAATTTTTTTTTTACTTACCTCTCCAACCTAATAAACTTTTAAATGACGTGGGATGGGACTGACGTTTTCTGTGTTCCGCTAAAACTTGAACCATGCCAAGCAATAGTACTGTAAGGACTATATCTTTCCACATTCTGTTTAACAGATCTGAAAATAGAATTAAGAACTTCCATTAAAACAAGTAATAGCCTAATATAGACCAGGGACCATAGAAATGTATATCGGGAACTGTGTTTGACGTCATCGCAGCAAATCTTGGAATTTTGACGTCATATCAAAAATCGAACACACATGCCAAGTTCCATGTCGTTTGTGCACAAATTTTCGAAGAGCGTTGCCACCAAGAACAATAAGATAAGTTGGGATTGGGACCCATTTCCTGGCACCAAAAGATTAAAATTGATTTTATACAGATCCTAATCTAAGATTTTTCTTCTCAAGTGTTAAAGGCTAACTTATTATAAAGTAGTACAAGAAAACTCTGTCATCAACACTAAAACTATCCTTTCTATCGGATTTCGTGGGTGTTTTTGTTAGAAAAACGGCTCCAAACAAAGTCTTTACACTTTATTAAGCGGTCCTCATTTCCGTCCATTTGAAATTTATCACTCACCAACAATTTTGAAAAATAATTATTTTATACGCATCGACCGCTTGACTTCTTCAAAACATAACAATAAGTAATTGCTGACTTGGTTCATTGTCGATTTCTTTGTCTATTTTTAATCTTATTATAATTGTACCATCTTTACAATCATGAATGAACCATTAGTCCGTTATCGATAATCCTTGTTCGATTATCATTATGATGTTCAGCATGGTTATTGAAGACTATTGTCTACCTAATACCGTGAATAAATATTTACAAAACTATTTAAGGACAAACATGAACGCTTAATTAGGGATTAGAATCTAGAAATGTCGATACAAATGAAAATCTTCTAATGATTTCACCTGAATTGTTTATGAACATACAACAATACAATTCCAAAAACGGAAATATAGTTTTATACACCTACATATTTTTAATTTATTGACGTTGTTAGCTGACAATGTCGTTATAGACTAGACTATGTATATATGGGTGGGTCTTCTATTGTATGGTTGATCCATCATGCGCTGTTTATACCGAACCTATCCAGGAAGAATAAACTTGACTGCTACTGTTATGATGATGACTTGTATGGTTTTTTCTTGAAATACATTCCTAGAACGCCGCTAACCTGGCTTGTCACTTAAGCAGTCGTTTCTAACATCAACGCTGTTCACCGAGATTATTGCACTTTTTAGCAAGACCGTTTCGCCAGAAAATATACGATATGTAGTCAACCTTTTGTAATACCTATACTGAAGTCTACGGTGTTCATTAAAGATGAAATTCTTCCCATGAAAATATTTATAGGTTAGCTATTTCCAATAAAAGTATGGCACATTATATGGAAAGTTGGGACAGTCAATCTTAAATACTGGATCCCCTGACAAACACCCATGGGGCGACCACGTGATAAAAAATGTAAGGTTGTCACTGACTGGCAGTCTGTGTGCTCGAGTCTGCGATATTTATGGAAGTGGACAGCGACTAACTACAAATACAAGCCGTAAAATGGATGTCACCGTACCCAATCAAGTCACGTGACAAACAATCATGCGGCATGGGACAGTTTTCTTGCGATTGAAACGTTTTTGAGAGGGGCTGGTTTAAAAAAAAAATGATAGATGAATTAGTTCGAATATGTTTTTAGTCCAAATATATATTTAAATCACACAGTTGTTACACTGGATGGTTTTTAAAAATTGATTGTCTGTTCATGGTGATTATTGCAGTCGGCTGTCAGAAAATAATGCACTTTCGACCTTGAAATCGTCCGTTTTATGAAGAGGGGTCGTTGTCCATGTCGCAACTTTTGAAAATAAAACGTATAATGTTTGCAAAACTCTTTGACTTGTGAGCATAATTATACAAGGTTTCAATTGAAAGGTTAGTAACTCTTCGAAACATTGTTGCGTGACTTTGATTTTTGATACGGGATCCTCCTTGGGGTATTGGCAATCATTCAACTTCAAGGGCAATCTACTTCAATTTCGAATTCTCATGGATGCAATATTTCATATCAAATTTAACTAAAATCGAATGAAAAATGTAGACCCTCGTGGATATACCTAATATACACAGAGAGATGGATGACGACAATACATTAAATTAAATATGAAAGTATAAACTCCCTATAGTGTGACGGTGTAATAAATGAAAGAAGTGCCATAACTGTTAATATTGAAACGCTGAACGATACCTTCCCACATACAAACTCTGTCACTTGATGATATATTTGGACTAAAAACATATTCAAACTAATTTATATATCAAATGTTTGCTTCAAAACCCCCTCAAAAAATTATAATCGCAAGAAACTACCCCAGACCATTAAAATCTATTTTAAGCAACCTTGACTGACACAATGTTATGACTTGACTGAGAGAGGAGTCATTTCCAGCTTGTATTTGTCTTCAATCGCCGCCATTTACCAGAAATATCGAAGCCTAGGTAAATTAGGAGATTATCCCGTCAATTTCTTTTCGCCGTTGTTTAAACGTGGAGATTGTTATACGTTTATTAGATCTGTTCTCACAACAGCCAGCCCCCCCCCCTCCTTACCCATGTGCGTGCCCATTTTATTTATATTTTTTTTTTTAAAATTCAGTATTTTTCTAGAACAATTTGGTGTCTCTACTTTCCATATATGCCTTACTATAACTGGAAATAACTACCCGATAAATACTCCCATGGGATGTATATTGAGTGGACATCTTTCTTTATGATGTATGAGGAGATGTGGGGAATTATTGTCAAATTATAGTAACTTGCTCTCACACAATATTCAACCCAAGCTAGGGTCATAATCACAAAATAATCCTTAATGTCCACACGATTCACGTGTATGTTGCAAGATATTTGGCAAATTGGGCGAATATCCATCGAAATATTCAATAGGATATATTTTTGACAAAACGGATATTCGCATTAAGTGCTGTTTGGTCATTTTGTAAGTTTCGTCAAGTTAGGTTAAACCCTATCTATATCACCAGCACCCCCCCCCCCCCCACACACACACACCCACACACACACGCCTTCTCATAGAGCGAGAGCCCAGGGGGTTAACCTAGCTGAAAAGTGTACCAATTTTCTCCTATATGGTATTAATGCATGGATATCTGGTATCATCATAATGTAAGTCTGCCGGGTTTCTGGTGGTGGGTGTGGTATTACACGCCCAAAATGCCATGCCCCCCAACTAGGCTAGATTAGCTCAAAAGTGTACCACATGAAAATCGTACAGCAGTGTACCGTACATCTTCAGGTGTTACAAAAACACTTTAACAGACATTTCTAGTGGTGGGTTACCCCTGACAGAGCTATGTAATTGTCAGACATTTGTAGTGGTAGAGTATCCCTGACAAGAGTTTTCTAATTTCCAGACCGCAGCTAGGCTAGATTAGTTGAAATCTGTACCACCTAAAACAGCTTTGGAGTTGTTCAGTACCACTACAGGAATCATGAATGACCCCTGCCAGACAGTTTGTGCGGTGGGTTACCCCTAACAGACACGCCCAAAATTGTGCCAGGATGCGTAAAATACTAATACCTAGCACGTATGGAAGGGGCGATACTCAATTTCTTGTAACCGCAGTTTATCGCCTCTTCCATACGTGCTAGATATTAGCATCCTGGCTAAAAATTTATTTTTTTAGAACACGGAACAGTGTCCGCTAATCTAGCCTAGTTGGGGGCGTGGCATTTTGGGGCGTGTCTATTAGGGGTAACCCATCGCACAAACTGTCTGGCAGTGGTTATTCATGATTCCTGTGGTGGTACTGAACAACTCCAAAGCTGTTTTAGGTGGTACAGATTTCAGCTAATCTAGCCTAGCTGTGGACTGGAAATTAGATAACTCTTGTCAGGGATACTCTACCACTACAAATGTCTGACAATTACATAGCTCTGTCAGGGGTAACCCACCACTAGAAATGTCTGTTAGAGTGTTTTTGTAACACCTGAAGATGTACGGTACACTGCTGTACGATTTTCATGTGGTACACTTTTGAGCTAATCTAGCCTAGTTGGGGTGCATGGCATTTTGGGCTTGTAATACCACACCCACCACCGGAAACCCGACAGACTTACATTCTGATGATACCAGATATACATGCATTGATAACATATTGGAAAAAATTGGTACACTTTTCAGCTAGGTTGGCCCCCTGGGCTCCCGGTCTATCAACCCACTCGTTGTTTATCACGGGTCATGTGAATTTTCAGGGTACATGTTTACTAGGACACATTTTATTAAGAAGTATATTATTTAGACTGCATTGCATGGCTACAGGACTTAGTAATAATATTGGTGATCGGGATAGAGAAAATATACACCCACGTTTACAGTGGGCGTACGAAAAGGCCAAACATATTAATAACGGGAAGCGACATTTTAATTGGACATTTGGAAAAAAAACTTAAGTATAACCTTTTAACAAATACAAACTGTAACAAAAGAAATACATGAAATATCGCCATTTTCGGTGTAAAACAGGATTTATACTTCCTTTTTTTTAAAACGTCGCCATGTATTTCTATTACCAATTATATGGTTACAATACCGGTACAACATAATAGCAAATAATGGCTAGCAATTATTACACGTTAAAAAATTGAACGATATAGAATGTGTGTAAATAATTCCCTCGAAATTATCACACTATTAAAAGAAAGAATTGTATCATAGAACAATCATTACTTATTAATGAAACTAAATCAATGACAAATAATCTAGACACACATTAAAAACACGTCAATACTCAATTTTATAAATGGACAAATAACTAGTTTAATCAAACTATACGGAAATACTGTTAGGTGATGTTATTTCATATTTTTTTAAAATGACGCGGTATTCAATCCCACCTCACCCCCACCCCATTAAAGATGTAAATACCCAGTTTTATAAATCGACAAATAACCAGCTTAATCAAAATACATTATCGTGATACGGAAATACTGTTATGGTTTGATTTTCGAATTGAGAGAGCACTTTTCTGAGTCAGTCTAGGTATACCCCTGACACTGAAGAGTCTGCTTAAAATGTTTTCGTTTA